CACACACACACACACACACACACACACACACACACACACAGCCTGTCTCATACTACAGAGCTCGCAAGCTCCTGTGCTGCAAGGGCCTTGGTGCTGAACATGAAAACCTCAATTCCAAGGAAGTATCACAAGTATCACCAGTCTAAAAACCACACCCTGGCTCATCACAAGTTAGGAACCATATACGCCATTTTTTATTTTTTACCTCTATAACATAACCACAAATGCATTCCAGCATTAATATTGCAGAGAGAGGATTGTAAAGAGTGATCAGAATTCTCTTGTGTAAAGTGTTGTCAAGGGAGAACTGGAAAGAGAATGGTTAACTTTAAAGAAAAGCCAAACTGTTGCCTCATTAGAGAGAAATGATGTTTCTGTGCGTGAACCTTGAATTTAGACTGACTGAGACCGACAACACAGTGCCTAGAAGCTGGCATCAGAGAAGGATGGGAAAGAGAGAGCCAGCAGGGAGGAAAGATGTGGAGGGCAGTTTCTAAGAGCCTTAGACATCTGTTCTGTCTTGAGTAAGGTGACTGTGCAGAATCTGGAGCAGGAGGAAAAGTCACCGAAACAGCTTTTCAGGGCTGCAGGCAGTATTAACAGAGAAGGAGATTAACATTGAGGACATAGCTGAAATGAGTATTTAACTTCTGAAATGAAACATCTTCAAACATCTAGGTGCAGTAAAAGAAAATAAGGATATCTAAAAGAAATACATCTCAAATTATCGTGCTTCTCTATAAAAAGTAAATGCCAGAGAATGCGTTCAGAATGTTTTGAAAGAAAAATTGCGATCCAAGAATTTTGTAAATTTCATTTCAGTGCCAATGCACAGAACAGCTTTTTTTTTTTTTTTTGATATGTACGAAGGAAGGAAATATAACACCCCACATCCCCCTCCAAAGTCTTCACGAGGGAACACCAGCTGAATAAGAATGATTTCAAAATTAAGAGGAAAGGAGATAAAATAATTATGTCACACAAGGAAGGCATCAAAATACAAAATGCTCATCAGATAGTTCAGGATGTAATGATGGGACATGCCAGGGAAGAACCTGAGTAGTGGTATGAAGGGAGAGAGTGAAAATAGAGAAGTCTTGTTGAGTCCCCCACTTTGATATTTAGATACTTTTCTGTCTGCCTTTGATAGAGATATGTCTAAAGATGAGGGGTAAGTTATAATGAAGTAAACTTAAAATGGAGACAAAATAACTTCTCTGTCTTCTGTGGTTACTGTGGCAAATAGCCATAGGCTTGGTAGCTTAAATACCATCAGTGTATTCTCTCCATACTTCTGGAGACCAGAAGTCTAAAAAAAAAATTCTACTACCCCCAAATCAAGATGTTTGAAGGGTCTTTCCTCTTCTGGAGACCCTAGGGGAAAATCTATTCCCAGCATCTTTGAGCTTCAGGTAGCTGCCAGCATCCAGACCTGATGGCCTTCATTGCAATCCCTTCCTCTGTGCTACAGTTTTACCCCCTCTCATGCCTGTGTGTCAGCTCTGTATTTTCCTCTTATGATTGCATTTTAGGATTCCCTAAATTAATTTAGGATAATCTCATATTTCAGATTCTTAGTCACACATACCAATACCTTTTTCTGTAGCATATAGTGGAGAGCAGGCATAGGTTACCAGGGTTAGGATGCAGATGTTTGAGAAGAATATTCTTTTAGCTTCCTACAATTAATAACTACATCTGAAACAAAAACTCAAAGAGCAAAACTTCAAAGCGAGCAGTGACAATGAGGTACTGCAATGATACTAGACACTTTCCCATTGTAAATATAATGGCTTAATCTCCTTCATTAAAACAAAGACTATTCAAAACAAAATCTTCCCTATGGTCTAACTGTATTCTGTTCAGAATAAAAATCAACAAAACCAAATGACATTGAAATTTCAAAAATAGAGGAGTGCCCAGAGGCATATCAAACAAGTAAAAAAATTTAAAGCCTTTATTAAAATACTGCATGATACCAATCAAATTCAAAGTTAGCAGCATCCCATGTGCCAAAGAGATTTATTTATGCGATAAAAGATACAACGAATAATGTCAGTAAAATACTGATAAATTTAGATGTAATAAGTAATGTAACAGTAAATTTATGTAACAAAAATGTTCAGGGATTTATAGGCCAAAAAGCCTACAAAATATAAACAGGAAAAGCTGAACTCTGTAGCACAGAATGCAAAATATCCAGACAACATGCGAAAGTTTGTTCAGATACTAGATTACCAACAAAGAAAAATTCTCAGTAGAATCCAAAAAGTGGGACTTATTCAACTCACATCCCTCAAACAAGTGACAAAGCTAAAATAAGTAACATTTTAAAATACCACTCAGAGAATCAAACATCTTCATAATTAACTCAAGCAAAGAAGGAAATCACAGTACAATTATAGTCGATTCATAAATGTCAACAATGGGAACTCTACACACCAACAGCATATGGGGTGCCATTCGGAGAGCAGATGGCAGCCCGAGGATAAGTCTGCCTTTTCAACACCCCACCCCCAGTTCTGACAGGCATGACCCAGGGAATGTGACATGTAAGGAAATTCTGTAAAGAGACGTGAGACTTACACTCTGCTGGACCCAGAGTGATTTTACTTGGGAAAATGCCAGATTGTGTCCATGTGAAGTGCCACTCTCGGGCTGACTCTAAAACCATCCACTTGATGTTTTTGAGCAAATTCGGGTTTACTAAATTCTCGAAACAGTACAGAGAATTCCCGTGTTGTTCACATCACACTACATGTCTCCTGTTATTAACATCTTGCATGCATGTGGTATCAAGCTGGTTGAGTAGTCTTGATACATTATCGATAACTAAGCTGTATGGTTTATGCTGAGGTTCAGTCTCCGTCACTACATTCTGTGGGCTTTAACGGTGGCATGATGATGCCTATCTACCACCAGTTTTGTTCAGACGAGAGTTGCTGGTCTATGTGTGTCCAGTCTGCCTTTCTTCTTACAAATCCTATATATATAGGATTTGTATATATATATATATATACATATATATATATATATATATATATATATATATATATATATATATATATATATAGCCTGAGGACATGTCTGCTTCCTTACCACCCTATCTCCAGCTCTGACAGACATGGCCTAGGACATGGAAGTGAGATTTAACTGCTGGAAGATACATACATACATACATACATACATACATACATACATATGTGTGTGTGTATGTAAGTGTGTGTGTGTTCAGCTGAAGTCACATGGTATTTAGCTGACTAGTTTGGCTCCTTCTGTATCACTGTGTGATTTGCTATTTTTCCATGTGGGTAAGTAGCTTATTTTCTTATAATAAAAAAAAAAACCCTCATGTTCATTACATGAACATGACATACTTTGTCACTCCTTGTTGAACTTGCTGGACATCTTGGTTGGTAGCAGGTGTTGGTGATTACTGGAGCTGCAGAAACCACCTTTATGCAGGTTTTTGTCCACTCAATTGCACAAGTCTCTATGATCATAGTTGCTCAACTGTGTAGTGAGATTAACTTGGTTGGTTTTCAGAGCAGCTGTATCATCTTTAATTCTATCGGCAGTGAGTGTACGTTCTTGTTAAAGTACATTTGTACCAGTGTTTGGTATTGTCAGTTTGTCTTTAAGCTGGGTGATGTGGAAGGCATGAATAGTGGTACCTTGCTCTGATTTGCAATACACTAATGAGATGCATGTTTGCCATCTTTAGTGATGTTACCACTTTTTCCTATTTTAAGGGGGTTGCTTTTATATTGCAGCCTTTTAAATTGCCCAGTTACCCCATAATAGTTTTATGGCATTACATTCATGTTTGTGATTCATATTGAGTATTTTAAAAGGTGAAATATCTGTGTTTATGTTTTCATTTTTATTGGGCACATCAATATTTTACAGAACACCTTACTGGTAACTGCAATTATTGTGACCAATTCTCTTCTTTGATAGAGACCTAAGACATTAAAACTACTCTCAATAAACAGAATTTGTCTTGCAATTAGCAAATTTGATCAAATATTTTTATTCAGTTTTACATATGTGAGTATATATTAGCTATACAGTTTATGATATCAATCATTACACACCCAAATTTACATCTCTATTTCTCAGTGGGTAGGCATCTAGAACATCTTGATCTTCTCACCATGACCACTGCTCACACCTCCAGTTGGGGATCATTCTTTCGCTTCCTTTTGGAACCCTACAGCCTTCCCAGAACTCTGGTTGCTCAAGTTTCCACTAGGCCCATTCTCCTCTTCCCTCTAGAATCCCAATCATGTCACATTTCCAGGAACCTTGATGCCCATATTGCTGATTGATCTCTTGTGCTTTGCAGGACTCATGCTGCTGCATTTGTAGGCAGAGTCCTCACTCTCACCTCCCTTGAACACTGTAATGCCACCATCTTAGTCCAGGACTCAAGATGCTCCCCCACAGCACTTTACCTCTTGCTTTTGAGCCCCACCAAGATGTCCCTAAACCAAAGAATGGATAAAGAAATTGTACATTTACGCAATGGAATACCACTCAGCTATTAAAAACAAAGAAATCATGAAATTTGTAGGCAAATGGATGGAACTAGAAAAGATCAACCTGAGTGAGGTAACCTGGAAGCAGAAAGACATTCATGGAATGAATATACTCACTTATAAGCAGATATTAGCCATATAATACAGGATAATCATACTACAATACACAGGTCTAAAGAGGCTAAATAACAAGGAAGACTCTAGGGAGGATGTGTAAGTCTCATTCAAGTGGACAAATAAATTAGACATGGGAAGCAGCTGAAGATAGGGAACAGGGTGGAAACCTACCATAAATATCCTCTGAAAGAATCCACTCAGCAGGGTATAGAAGCTGATGCTAAGATTCAGAGTCAATTTGGGCAGAGCATAGGGAGTCATAGGAAAGAGTGGGGAAGTAGAAGGACCCAAAGTGGACAGAAGCTCCAAAAGAGCCAACAAATCTGGGCCCATGGGGGCCTGCAGATACTGATGTACCAACCAAGGACCACTCATGAAAAGGACCTTGACCCCTTGCTAGATGTAGGCTATAGGCAGCCCAGTCTCCAGACTATCTCTGACATGGACTCTGTTATCCATTCTCTGGCTTTTTGATCACTTCCACCTGGATGAGAGGGGACATTGTCAGGCCACAGAGGAAGAGGATGCAAGCAGTCCTAATGAGACTTGATAGGCTGGGGTCAGAGGGCTCCCCCTTTCCGAGAAACAAGGGAAAAATATAGAGGAGAAGAGAGAGGGAGGGTGGGACTGGGAGGAGACAAGGGAGGGGGCTACCATTGGAATGTAAAGTGAATAATTTATAAAAAAAACAAATTTAAATTAAAAAAAAAAGAGAAAGTTGAACCTGCTTTTCCTCCTGTGGAAACTTCAGTCTCTTCCTCTTAGAAAGAGCACACTCTCCCCTCCTGCCCACTGATGTCCACCATCAGAGAGTTGTACTTTCCTCACAGGTAGAGTACTTGTCTACCTTGCCCCCTAGCACTCTATTCTCACCATCTGAGGACCTTGGTGTGTCCCTAATCACTGCAAAATCTTCATTTTTTTATTGCATTTCAATAAAGTATTTATTTTATTTTTATTTTATGGGTACAGGTGCTTTGCCTACATGTATGTATGTGCACCATATCCATGTGGCACCTGCAGGGGCCAGAGGAAAGCATCATATCTTCTGGCACTGCAGTTACAGACAGTTGTTTCCCCACAGGAAATGATTTCACCTGCCCCCTTGCAGGCAAATGACCCCTCTCTATCATGATATATGTCAGTCGCCTGTTCACCCCTAAGGATGGAGGCTACCTTCCATATCCACTGGTACTCAAACCACTGCTTGTCCAGACTCTTGTGGAGTTTCTCCCAGCTTTCCTAATTAGAAGCTGTATCACCAATACCTGAGCCTATCAGCCCCACCAACATAGCATTTCTTAGAGCAAGTTCTCCTTAGGTCAGAGGCCACACCCCGCTAACTCTACACCTCACTCTCCTATCTACTAACCCACACAAAGCACTTGCTGGGCTGGTCAGGGCCTGTGCCTTTCCCTAGTTGAACTGGAATTGCCTCAACTACCTGTCTCATAACATTAACTGGCCACAGGACTGAAGTTCAAGTATATTCCAGCTATTCCAAACCCAGCAAAATCAGCATAACAAAAGAATACAGATTAAAACACCTTTTCAACACAGGTGATCCAGAACTCATATCACTTTGATTGAAAAGCACAGAAGTCTATCTTAAACTGACAAGTTTAAGATATCTTAAACTTTCATAATATTTTATCTTTCATAATATTGAAATGTACTATAGAGGTTGCTGAGGAAGAAAACCCATGAATGGTTGTATCCAGCACTGGACCCTGTATTCTACGATACTGACTTGTCAGGTAGGATGTACCTACCGATGCAACAGTGGCACAGGAATTATGAAGGTAACTAACTACATTCTTACTGAATTTTATGCCTGATTTACAGAAGAAGATCCATGCCTAGAACTGTAATCCTGGTCAAAAGCTCATGGCTGGGGAGCTCATAAGCCTTAGTGTAGAATTTGCTATTGTTATTTTGCTAAAGATTATCGTATTAAAGTGTCTGCTAAATATTTTTGCTTATAACCACAGACCTGGGCTGCTCTCAGTCACGGTTAGAGAAGCTTCTTTCTGCACTTGGCAGCAGTCAACGGAGTGATGCATGACTCAAAGTTCTGACAATAAGAGATTTAGTGTTCATCCCCAAAGGCCATCGATCTCATCCTTTCCACTTATCTTATGAAAGATAACTGGCATGAAGGAACTTTCCTGGCCAGTTAAATATAGACTTCTGTGCTCTCCAATCAAAGTGACTTGAGTTCGGGATCACTCGTATTGAAAAGGTATTTTAATCTGTATTTTTTTGTTATGCTGATTTTGCTAAATAAGTGGAAAATGAATAAGTGGAACATCTTAGAAGAGAAAGCAGAATTAATGCAAGATCCAGGGAATGGGGGAGAATGTTCAAAGTTCTGTCTTTTGGACATGACATGGCTATCATAATCATGAAGTTACTTATACATGACCTGAACAAGATCAAACCAGTCAAATTCCCACATAGACATTGTAGGTGATCTCCAGGACCCACCCCTTACTGAGGACTATTTGCATAGGATAATTTCTAGAATAGGCAGAATCATTCTTTTGAAGATGTGACCACTGACAGGATTCCAACATTCCAGTGGATGGCCAGCACACCATACATATATGGGCAGCAGGAAAAACACACATATTTGTTTTCTACAGGAAACATATCTAAGCTTAAAAGATGGGTATCATCTTAGAGTTAAAAAGATGGATAAAAGTACTCTAATCAAACGGGACCACAAAACAAGGAAGCATCACTATCCCGATATCTGACAAAATAGACTTCAAATTAAATTAATCAGAAAAGATAAACGAGAACACTTTGTTCTAATAAGGGAACAGTTAAAGATATTAGTATAGCCAACAAAGGACACACAGAGAAAGAAATCATAGATATACTTCCATTCACAATAGCCTGCAAAGAAAATAAAAAGAGAATAAACCTAACTAAATAAATGAAGGACTTCTACAATGAAAACTTAAAACCTTTAAAAAAAAGAGATAGAGAAAGACACTAGAAAAATGGCATCTTATGCTCATGGGTTGGTAGAATGTGGTGAAGAACATTTTACTGAAAGCTATTATAGATTCAGTGCAGTTCCAATCAAAGTCCCTATATCATCTTCACAGCAAAAGAAAAATCTATCCTAAAACTGATATTCATGTCTAACTACAAAATTGATATTCATTTGTAACTGAGTTGCCAAAACAGTCCCATATAAAAAGAACAATCCTGGAGAGAGTGCCATTTCAGATATTAAGCCATAGTGTGTGCTGAATCATTTTGTGACTTCTGAGTACTGAACTCTTCTTGCATCCTTGAAACAAATTTTACTTTTGTAAGATGTGTGATCCTCAACGTGCTATGGAAATTATTTTACTAACATCTTATTGATTTTCTTGCATTTCTGCTAATAAGAGGTATTGGCCTCTGGGTTTTGTTTCCTGTAGTGTTTCAGCCTTGGTATAAAGATAGCGCCAGCCTTGAGAAATGAGTTTGGATGTATTCCCTATTCAATTACTATGAAAAAGATTTTGAAATAGATGGGTGCTAATTTTTAAAAAAATATTTTGGAGAATAAATCAATACAGACATCTGGGCCTGGAACATTTTTGGTTGGGAATTGTTTTGTTGGTATCCAATCTGGTATTCGTTATTGCTCTCTTTAAACTTTATACTAGTTTATTATTTTAACTTTGCTGCTAGTACATTTCAGTTTCTTTCATGTTATCTGATTTGTTGTCATATACTGATTCATACTAATCTCAGGGTTGTTGGTATTTGTGTGATATTAGATTTAATGTTTTTCCTATAACTTAATTTATTGGTAGGAATTTCTATTTTTATAAGTGAAAAAATGATCAATTTAATTTGTCCTTTCAAAAAAGGAACTCAGTTTTATTGATCTTTTCTACTACTGTTTACTCTCCATTTTACTTCTTCCTTATTCTTTATTTCAGATTGTGGTAGTTTGACTGAAAGTGGTCCCCATAGGCTCATTGGGAGTGGCACTGTGAGGAAGTATGGTCTTATTGGAGTAGGTATAGTATTGTTGGAGGAAGTACATCACTGAGGGTGGGCTTTGAGGTTTCAGAAGCTCAAGCCAGGCCCAGTGGCTCAATGTCTTTTCCTGTTGCACTCAGATCCAGATGTGGTGTGGTCATAGTGTCTCCTCACAGCTGTAAAACACTGACAAAAACACAGTTTGGTTCTTTTTTTCTGCAGAATTTAGAATGATTTTGTTCTTTCCTTTGCTTCTTGAGTTAAGAGGTAAGCTGTGCATTTTGTTTCTCTCTTCTTTCTTAGTATAGTTTATTGCTGCTAACACTCCCATCCTCGCTGTTATTTTTTTAACATGGCCTTAAAAAATATATATATTGAAATTCAATTTGTTTCAAACTTTTTGAGTTTCTCTTTGATTTTTAAAAAATCCCTAGGTTATATAAAAACTTTCTGCACATTACTGCCTGCCTTCTAGTTTTCTTCCATGGCAGCTGTAAAAGCAGTGTACTTTCATGCAGGTTTTCAATTTATTAAGACTTGCTTTATTCCATCTATGCTTTGAATGTGGTTGATAATGTGATTGATTTCCACACTGCTAATGAAAACATTTTCTATCTTTCTATCCTCAGATTTCTGTATGATCCGATTTTAACATTTTGAATGTTTATTACTATTTACCATTTGGCAAATAAATGGCTTATGCACTCAGTTCACTGGCCATATTTAAATACCTTATCTTAAATCTTTATGTAGCACACTCACTGGCTGTAATTCCTCAGAAATAATTTCATATTTTGTATTTTTTCCTATAAATGAGACATTCTTTTTTGCTTCTTTACTAAATATTTCATTTTTTTGTTGAAAACCAGCAGTTATGCAAAGTCACTGAATTTTTGTTTATTTACTTCTTTATTCTTCTATTTAAATTGACAGGTAAAACGTTTGTAAATTTATGGTTCACAGCAAGGTGCATACTTGTGTGCACCATGAACTGGCCAGAGCAAGCTATTCACATGCTTATTTTTTTAGTAGTAAGAATACATAAAATTTAATCTCTTAACATTTTCCCAGTACACAAGATATTTTATCAACTGTGGGTATCATGGCATGCAATAATAGCTCTCTTGAATTTATTTCTGCAGCTAAAATGCCATGTCCTGTGACCAGTATCTTCCTAGTGAGTCCATTCTGCAGAATTTGGTAAGAACTTCATTCCATTTATGTGGGCTTAACATTTTTTAAGCATGCACATAAGATAAATTATACTTTATATTTCTTTTTGTATCTGTCTATTCCACTTAAGGTGCAGCCATCTTGTAGCAGTGTGTGTTTGTGCATATGTGTGTATAAGTGTGTGTATGAGTGTGTGAACAAGTGTAGGTATACTTGTGTGTGCGTGTGTGTGTGCATGTGTGTATGTGTCCTGTTTCTTTATCCACTCCTTTTGTGATGGACAAAGATATTCTAGGTATGGGCTAATATCAATAATGCTGCAAAAAACATGTGAGAGCCAATATTTATTTGGCATGTCAGTCTCATATGCTTAGAATATATACTCAGAAGTAGGATAGCTAGAATATGTATTAGTATTCTTTTTAATTGTTTTTGACAGTTCCATATCATTTTCCATAGTGGCTGCACATTTCCCATCTCTGCTAATAAGAAAACATTACAGGCATCAGTGTTGTCTTTCCCCATTCCCTTGTTAATTTTTGTTTTTAATAACAGCCATTCTTACCTAAAGGGTATGAGGTGACATATTACAGTTTCCATTTGCATTTCCTGGTGATTAAGGAAGCTGTGTTTTTTCAATATCTGTTAGCTATCTGTATGCCTCCTTCTGAAATGGCTATTTATGTCCTTTCGACTTTATTGATTTGTTTTAAATATGCTAGTCAGATTTCCATTGCTGTCATAAAATGTTCAATCCTGAGTAACTTTATAAAGGAAAGAGTTTATCTTACAGTCATGATCAAGCAGCTTGTTAAGCTGAGCTCTGCCTTTGACAAAGTATCCATGGCTGATAGCCAATGATGGAGCAGGAGTACAGGAAGGACCGTGGGTTGAATAGGAAACAGATGGAACCTGCTTTGCACCTTTTAGAGGAACTGCCTCTGAGCACATTCCCTGCAAGCAGGCATCTCCCACTAGGCCCCACCTCTTAATGGTTCTGGCACTCCCAACATTTCCCCTCTTTCATGGTCCAGCTTAAAAGTTGGGCCATATAAACCCTGGAAGGACACAATCCAACTAGACCTAAGCAGTAGCTCCCGTAATTGGCTTCCTTTGAGTCCTTATTTATTCTGGCAATAGTTCTTTTTAAAGACTTTTAAAATTTTATGTGTGTGCTTTGCCTGTATGAATATGTGGACACCACACACACGCTGGACCCAATAACAAGGGGAAGAAGTGCTGGACCCCATAAAACTTGAGTTAGAGATAGCTATGAGCTATGGGGGTGCTAGGAACTGAACTGGGTCCTCTGAGAGAGCAGGCTGTGCTTTTAATCCCTGAACCATTGCCCTAGCCCCTGAGAAGAAGGTTTTTCTTAAAAAAATGTATTTAGGTTTACAAATGTCTTTCTGTCCTATCGGTTGTTGCCTCACTTTATTTTTTTTGACAGGCAGAAACATTTTCTATGTTGATATATCCCCATATGTCTGGTTTTGTTTTTCTTACTTGTGCTTTTAAGATCATATTGAAAAATTTCTCACCTAGACAAATTCCATGGAGATTTTCATTTTATTTTGGTAGTTTTACAATTTTAAGTCTTCGGTTTAAATTTTTAATGCATTTTGAGTATACTTGTGTATCTGGTGTGAGATAAGGGTGTGATTTCATTCTTCTTCACATACATCCACTTTTCCCAGTGTCATTCTCTGCAGCGCCTAACTTTTCCCCATTGTGTATTCTTGGCACTGTTACTGAAAATCAGTTGTATACAAATGCATTTATTTTGGTGATTTCTGCTTAGTTCCATCTGGTAATATGGAAGCACAATCTATTTTGGCTATTTAAGCTTCATCATGAATCTCTTAAAAACTAAAGTATAATTGTATCATATACCTCTTCTTCTGTTCCCACTTATCCCTCCTGTTCACATTCACTCTCTCCAAAATTCATGGCTTCCTCTTTTTGAACCATTGTTGTCATGTATATATAAACATAAATACATATATACACATAGCCTGCTGAGTCATTTCAGTGTTGCCTGGATGTGTTTGTTCCCAGGGATGGCCACTTGGTTTTGGCTAACCAGTCAGGGGGCACTTCCCTGGAGAAGATTCATTCTCTCTCTCTCTCTCACAGCAGTTGTTAATTGCTTTTAGGTGTTTACCTAGGATGGGGATCCCATGAGATTTCCTCCATATCTGTTGGGGTGTTAACTGTTGTTGGAATTTTTCAGGTGTCCTTTAGACAGCCATGTTGTTGAAATTCTATGGGTGTAGATGCCCTGTCATAGCTAGAATACACAATCTGACAGTAGACCTCTTTGTCCACTGGATATAACAAGCTTCCTGCAACTTCTTCCAAAATGTGAATGTTTCCTGAGCCTTAAGCGTAGAGGTTCTGTTATATCAGTTGGGGCTGGGAGCACACAATCACTTGTTCTCTGCATTTAATCAGTTATGCCTTTAAGTAATAGTCTCTTTATGCCCCCCCCCCCAAAAAAAAGAAGTTTCTTTGATGAGGCATGAGATACACACTTATCTGAGGGTATAAGGATTAGTATTTGGAGTGCAGCTAGGAAACAACACTGACTTCGGAAAGTCGCAGTAGTTGGTTCTCTTCTCAGGTGTATGACCTCACTAGACACATACAGGTCATCGACAAGGTTCACACTACCAAGTGTAAGTTCCCTCCTTTGAGCGTACTTTAAATCCAATTAGACAACTGTTGGTGACCCTTAAGATGGAGACCCACTACTTCACCGCTGTTGAAATGTTGTCAGTGCAGCCCTTGTAGTTAATACGCTTGCCAGCTGAGTAGGGCTACAACACGGTAACTTGCGTAGCACCTCTGGTACTGTGAAAACTACTCCTTGGGGATGAGACTTCCGGGTCAATTCCAGCTTAATCACACTAAGTCCCTATACCTAAAGTACATCATTTTTTTTTTCAGCAAAAACTTTATGCTCAAGTTCTAGGAGACATTCACAAGCAATGGCAATAGCCTATATTGCTTTGACAAGGTATTTCATGCTTCATGCATTATACTGCAGTTTTCTTAGACAGGTTATGGCTCTTGAGGGAAACATTACAGTCTCAAGTGTTGATATATTTATATATATATATATATATATACATATATATATGATATATGGTATAGATGATATATGGTATAGATGATATATATATGAACACATACATATATAAATATATTAATTCTTTCTATCATTTCTGTTCCTATATATGTGTGTATGATACATGCGTGTGTTTAGGTAAATATAATAATGACTGCCTATGCCTTTTTAAGGCATCCTTAGTGTTATTTATTCCTTCTGCTTCCCTCTCTTTCTATACTGCCTTCTCTCCTCTCCCTGCAGTTTAAGTCCCTCCCCATTCCCATTTCTTTTTTCATAATACCTATATCCTACTGTTCCACATTCTAGGACTCCTCCCCCAATTCTTGTTCCCATTTACTTTAATGTTTTCTGTGATAACTCCAGCTTATATGCTCATAACTATAGGTTTGGAACTAAGAACTATGAATTAGAAAATACAAGATTTGCCTTTCTGTGTCTGCACCACCTCACTCAGCATAATGTATGGTGGCTTACATTTACCTGGAAAACCCTTGGTTTCATTTTTCTTTATGGCTGAGGAGAATTCCATTGTGCATCTGTACCATATTTTCATTATTCATTCATTGAGTGAAGGACATTTATGTTGTTTCCATTCGCTAACTATTTTGAATACAGCAGTAACAAGCATGGCTGAGCAAATATTGGACATATGCCAAACTCTGGTATAGCTCTGATGTGAGAGATTTATTTTTGGCTTCTTGAAAATTCTCTACAGTGATTTCCAGAGTGGTGGTATCAGTTTGCAATGCCACCAACAATGAATGCAGTTTCTCCAATCCCTACAATCTCACCAGCATTTCTTTTCAGTTGTTTTCTTAATTCTTAATATTAGCCAGTCTGACTAAGGTGAGACAGTTGTCACAGTTTGCATTTTCTGAATTGCTAAGGATGATGAATACCTTCTGAGCTATTTACTAGCTATTATAATTTCTTCCTTTGAAAACTCTATTCAGGCCCACAGCCCATTGTTTAAACATGAAGACTACCAGAGACACTCAGCTATGTGTGTTAAACAATGGCCAGGTTTTTGGCCTTTCCCTCAGGAGTTGTCATTGCTGGCCTAGCTGGACCACAGCATGCTAGCCACTTTAATAAGTTCCATTTCATATATTCATATATTCATATATACATATATGCATATATACATATGTATATATACACATACATATGTATATATTCACTCATTCTATCAGTGAAAATCTCCTCTGGAGAACCTTCACTTATGTAAAGTGAAGTTTTTTTCCTACTTATGTAAAGAGAGTTGTGGACATTTTGATTAAGATTGTGTTGACTATGTAAATTGCTTTTAGTAATGTCATTTTCAAAATATTACTTCCATCAAACCACTAGCATAGTCCCACCACCACCATTTTATCTCTTAACTTATTTGAAGTTTTCATTGTAGAAGTCTTTTACCTCCTTTGTTAGATATATTTCTTGATATTTTTTGAGGCCTTTGTGAATGATTTCTTTCTCAGGATGTTTGTGTTGCTATAGATAGAGACTACTGAGTTTTGTAAGTTGATTCAGCATCCTGTTACTTTGTTGAACTTGTTGATAATCTACAGAAGTTTCCTGATGAAATACGGTATCTCTGTGGTTACTATATCATCCGAAGACAGGAAAATTTTGAATAGCTCTTTTTCCTGTTTCTATCCCTTTATTTTCTTATTTTTCAGCTAGTGCTTCAAGCACTATACTGAAAAGAAGTGGTAACAGTGAACAAGTGGACAGCCATCTCTTGTTATTAACTCTGATGAGGCCACTCAGAGAGTTTTTTATTTAGGTTGATGTTGGCTGTGGCTTTGTCATAGAAGCCCCTCATTACGTTGAGGTATCTTTCTTCCAGTCCTATCTAGGACTTTTACCATGACGGTATGTTGGATATTTCATCAAAACCTTTTTCTGTGCCCACTGAGTTATGTAATTTTTGTCTTTAAGTCTATTGATTTGGTTTATTATATTCATTGACTTGTGCATATTGAACCATCCCCAATTCTTGGTGATAATGCTAACTTGATCACAGTGGGTGATTTTTTTTCTATTTGTCTGTATTCTGTTTGCAAGTTTGAAATATTACATCAGACAAATAAACAAAGAGAGAAGTCCACACGGCCAGGTGTCATCATAAAAACACAAATAATGAAAAGGGCCAACACAGTATTTTTCCCCAAATATATCATTCCTATGGAAACTATCTCCAGTGAGAATTATGCAAATGAATTGCAGGATACAAAACTGAAAAGTACAACCATAAACTTCATCAAAGAATTCAAGGAGTCAGAAGAATATACAAATAATTCAATGAGTTTAAACATAATAATAGTAAATGCCTGAGTAATCCTTAAGAAAATACAAATGTACAGGTGAATTAACTGGTGAAGAAAATTCAGGATTTGGAAGCTGAATTTAATAAAAACATAGAAATATCAAAGAGAATTCAAGTCAATATGAAAATGGAATTGAAAAATTCAATAACCCAATTAGAAATTCTGTTGAGTTTCTTTCTTCCTATTCCTGATTTCTTCAATACTTCAGACTAAAAAAAAGGAATGAGTACAACCAACAGAATCTAGAAAAGAACAAATGAACATGATAGAGTGTAGGAGAAAAAGAAAGAACAAATGAAGCTGTGACTACTGAAAAACTAAGGAGACTAAGAATGCGAACAGTAGAACAAACAAAATGTCTGAAATCAAAACTCTTCAATAGTATTAATGGCTTCAATTCTCCAGTCTTAAAATGCAGGCCAGTTGAGTGGGTTGAGAAACAAAATCTGTCTTTATATTGTCTTCAAGAAACTTATCTTAACTAAAAAGATAGTTACAACCTTACAGTGAATGACAGAAAAAACAATTCCAAGGAAATAGAAAGTGATGCAGGCAGGTGTTGCTTTAGACTCCAAAGTAAAAGCAATCAGAAGAAAGAAAGATGGTCGTTTCATTCTAATCATTCTATCAAGGAAAAAAATTATCTATTATAAGCCAATGTTAAATCTACATGCACCAAACTCTAGTGCACCCAGTTTCATAAAAAGTGCAATACTGGAATTAAAGACACACATTAACATTAACCCACTAAGAGAAGGCGACATTACCATGAATTTATTAAATCAAGTAGTGTGACAGATGTAGCTTTTTATCTCCTTTTTCAATACTGATTCATTTACTTGGGGTGTTTGTGATTCTATATATTAAGTAGTTGTGCTTTTTATTTGTGTGAGAAACGTGATTGGAATTTTGCCTGGATTACACTGCATCTGTCGATCATTTAAAGCGATTTTAGAAAAAAAAATCTAATCCATGGGTGTTAACTATCTTTCAATTTATTTGTGTCTTATTTAATTTTTTTTTAAATTAGTTAATTGTAGATTTGTAATTTCTAGCTTATAGGCCTGACAGATAGATTCCTTATTGTTGTATATTTTTGTAGTTATTATAAATAGAATGGTTTTCATAATTTCTATTTTGAATAATTTTTTATGTAAACATGCTCCATATTTTTGTTTTGGTTTTATATTCTGAAAAATATGAGTTTTATTTATTACTTCTAATTTTTAGCAGGTTCTTTAGAGGCATTTTTGCTTTTGCATCTCTAATTTGGAAGCCTTTCTTTCTTTCTGTTGGTAGTCCTTCCAGTTGAGTGAGGTGGCAGCATCCTTCTCTATTGCTGGTCTTAGACAAGGAACATTGCCTTGTCACCACTGTTGAATATGGTGTTAGCCATGGTCCTGCCACATATGACATTTCTTGTATGAGTTGCTTTCTTCCTAGTCCTAATTTCTCAAGAATTTTTTTAATCATGTAAAGATGCCAAACAACATCAGATGTCTCAGTCCTGGGCAATAACTTTGGGCCATCCCCATTTCTTTCTGACAATTTCACAGTCTAGAGTAGGTACTGATTGTCTAGGGGCTTAGGAACATGTCAGAGATTTTTCAAAGCCCCTATAAGTGTGTTACTATTGAGCTTACACTTTAAAATTTGTTCCATTTATTGTTTTCCTCAACAGTTATTTCATAACTAAGGCTTCCGTGAGGTTAATGAATTTCTTATAATTATTTTTAACAAATACCCAGAGGAGAAAAAGTTTACAATGGAAAAGTTCAGAGTAAGGTAAAATACAGACAACCTTGAAAATCCAGTCTTCCAAAAGGACTGCCAGACACTTCAAATAATGGTAGTTCTCTGGGGAAAAGCTTTGAAAGATTCTACCCAGATCTGCTCTCTCCATGGCTGGTAGAATTTTTGTTTTTACAGTGAAGAAAAGCTGTTAATTTTCAAGGCTACTACAGAGATGGCCACTGCAGAATGGGAATAATGAAGGTTAGACCCCCACAAAGATCCCTTTCCCTCCAGTCAGCTCGTCTCTTTCATCAGTGTTCCTTGGTTGCTGCAAGCCTTTGCTTAATTTCCAGAACCCCACAAAACTTTATTCCAGCAACTTTCTGACATCTTCTTGCTGCCACCATAGGGGAAAGAACCATTGGAGTTTTCCTGCCAATCTTATATACTATTATTTTAGCATTTGTTATAAATATAATTGGTAGAAATGTTACTGATATGGATACGGTCACAGTTTAAAGTTGGTAAATATAAAAAAAAAAAAAAAAACAACCCATGGATTATAACTGTGCTTTTGGAATGTGTGATGGTATATTTAGTAGCCAACCTCCAAAAGGTCTCCAATAAACTTTATCTCTTGCTTTCAGTCTCTCCAATGCTGACCTACGTGCCCAAAAGAAAAACGTGGAAGCCATAGTGTGTAACTGCTGAGGCCGTTTCATGAAGACGTGGGCATTTCTACTGTGGTCACCGTGACCAACTGTTCTTGATAAACCCAGTTGCTGTGCTGGGAAGATACTAGTGGGCACCCGTGGAGAGGCCCATTGGAGAGAAAGTGAGCATTCTGCTCAGACCACACATGAACCACCGATTATGTGTCATGAACGATCTGGTCCCAAGTCTGCCCTCCAAAGGCCCAGTGCAATGAATCAAGCAATAGAACCTTGTGGTTAGCTTATACCTGGCCTATATAACCATCCAACCTATTCCTGTATTTCTGAAAAATAAACACCATGAAAGGATAAATACATATGTTTTAGGCAATTAAGTCTTATTATAATTTGTACTTCGGCAATCCATTACTGAAATAATGGAATAATTAAAATCAACTCTCTACACAAAAGTATTCTCAACAAGAAGGTATAAGATATTTGCCCTAGAAGTAGTGCAGATTAATGACCGCAGCCCTGGCATGCTCAAAGGATTTGTAACAAATTCACTCTAAGAAAATACCATTCCTTTGCCATGCCTCCTTTTAAAGTCATATTCAGAGCACACAAAATATTATCATTACAACTACTCTGATTGGTTTCCCAACAATGAAACAAGTGTTACCAAGACTTGAAGGTAATAAAATGAATGAAACCATAATCTACTTCTGAAAATGGGTATAAATATTCTGAAATGCCTAACAAGCAGACTCTAAGAAGGCAATGCTTTTCGGATGTACTGTTGTGCATCTGTAAAGCTGAAATAACTTAGACTAGAAAAACTGCAGGAGAACAGAAACTACATTAATGGGGAGTAATTGTAAGAGTTCAGAGCACAGGGGCTCTCGCTGAGCCCACTGTTCATTGATTGGCTAAGCCGACTGACCAGTGAGCTGCAGGGGTTGGAAGGTCTCTGTCTTGCCACTGCTGGGGTCACAGATGCGCACGACCTTTCTTGGCTTTTATGTGGATGTTGGTGGCACAAGCTCAGCTCTTCGTGAGTGCAGGAGGAAAGGTTTAGGAGTTATTTCCCTGTAATTCCCAGAGCTGATGTCAGTTTCAGTGTGGCTCGTCACGCTGAGGGGTGCTTGCCATACCTGCAAGTAGCGGACTACTCGGCAGACTAGGTCGGGGGCCATGAAGTCTCCGGTGAATCGCCAAATGATGTCTGTCAGGATGTTGATCAGGCCTGTGAAGGAATCTAACAAAGACGTGCTATTTAGCATCAATCGCTCCAAAGTTTGTGGATACACTGCAGCAAAAACAAATTCCTGGGTCAGTTTTGTTTTCTCTCAGCTTGGCAGATGGCTGTGGAAGAAAAGGGAAGCATGGCAGGAGTTGCTTCTCTTTAAATATCTGTGTTTTTTTGCATCTAGAGATGATTTCAGCTTTGAATGGGGAGGAATCAATGGTTTCAGGAGAGCTGGTACTTTCCTAAAGCTAGTACTGTGTAGAGATTCAAAAGAAGACAAAACTGAAAGCAGAAAATGCTTATGTAATTCATCTCTGCCCTACAGAGGGGTGATCCATCATCTCATTGTAGTATTGTGACTTAAACCCAGGACCTCACAAATGCTAGGAATATGTCCTAATGCTGAGCTACCACCAGGCCTATTTATTTTTATTAAAATACATTAGCTGTTTAAGATAATGGGTCTCATCATTTCATTTTTAGACTTGCATATACCATCCTTACATAATACTCATATCTATTCCTTCCTCTCACATCAACTATGAAGTTTACTTATGTTTCAAAATCACTCCTTTAACTCACCATTATATTTTCATGCTCCCCTCCCTCAAAGATAGAGTCAATATATGAGAGAAAACATACTTGTTTTTCTGGGTCTGGCTTATTTTACTCAACCGGACTATTTCTGGATCCATCTATATTCCTATAAATGATATTTTGTTTTTATGCATAAATTTATACTGGCATATATAATGTGTATATGCGCCACACTGTAAAAATCCATTTCTCCATTGAGAGCCACCTAGGCTGTTGCTGTTCTGGCTTTGATTCCTTTAGCTATGTACTTGGGGCTGGCAAAACTGGGTGATGTGATGTGATGTGATGTGATGTGATGTGATGCGAGTGTGTATGTGTGTTTGTGTGTTTGTTCTTGTTTTATGTTTATTGTGATGAAATATCCTGACAAAGAACAACTTTGTGGAGGAAGGGCAGAATTTTTTTAGATTCCAGGTTACAGTCTGTCTTCTAGTGGAAATCAAGGCAGAAATTCAGGCAGCCAGCCTAGTCCTATCCACAGCACTGGACGCAACCATGACTCATTTTGTTTTCATTTTCTTTTATTCTTATACATTACGTCCTGACTATAGTTTCCTCTTTCTCTACTTCTCTCAGTCCCTCTCCCTCCTTCCCTATTCCCCCAAATCTACTCCTTCTTCATTCCCCTTCCAAATAAATAAATAAACAAACAAATACTAAGCCTCCCATGCATATCCACCAAGCATGGCTTAACAAGATACAATAAGACCTGGCACAAGCCCTCATATCAAGGCTGGATGAGTTGAGGCAACCCAATAGAAAGTAAAGGGTCCCAAGCACAGGCAAAATAATCAGAGACACCCCCACTCCCATTGTTGTGAGTCCCACAAGAACACCAAGGCACACAACTGTAAGTTATATGGTTGAAGCCCAAGTTCAGACCCATAGAGAATCCCTGTTTGTCACTTCACTCTCTGTGAGCCCCTATGAGCCCTACTTAGTTGATTCTGTGGGCCATGTTCTCCTGGTGCCCTCCACTCCTCATGTTCCTACAATTCCTTCTCCTCTCTTCTGCAGACTTCCCCTGGCTCCCCTACTGTTTGGTTATGGGTCTCTGCATCTGTTCTCACCAGTCTCTGAATAACACTCCTCTGATGACAGTTGGGCTAGGCACCAATCTATGAGTATAGCAGACTATTGTTAGAATTGTCTCTATCCTGGTTCTCTGGGCTGTCTTGTTTCTGGTTCCTGGCCATCCCGGCGGTGTCAGGTGTGAGCTCCCTCTCATGGTGTGGACCAATCATTGGTTGGCCACTTCCACAAATTCTGAACCACCATTACCCCAGCACATCTTGCAAGCAGCAGAAATTGTAGCCAAAGGTTCTGTGCCTGGGTTGATGTGCCAGTCCCATTTCTAGGAGCCTTACCTGCAACTATGTATTTTTGTGTTTACTGCTGTTCATTGGGAAGAAAGACTTTCCTGATTAGGGCTAAGGATAAAATTTGTCTACGGGTATGAACATAAGTATTCACGGGGTGGCTTGACCTTGTGTCAACCTAGCTGAACAGCACTATTCAGTTCTCTTCAGGGCCCACGAATTTCTGTGCTCTGGGTCATTGACCAGGTTTCCAGTTCCTCAAATCCAGTCAGAGAGCAATTGGCTATCCCTGCAACTGCAGGACCGCTGTTGTGGGCACATCTTACGTGACGGATTGGTCTCACAGCTCCTAGGATTAACAGCTGAAGAAGGAAACTGATAGCCTTTCTACCCCACCAGAAACCTGGCTAGCACTTCCTGGGACTATAAAGGTGCAAGAAGGTGGGAAGGAAGACAATTCTGGCCCAGTTTCAGTTTGTTTTCTCTGTATTACAAACCCAAGGTATGTGGTGTCTTTCAGCAACAAGTCTTATAATCTAACTGGGTGGGAAACTAAAAGTAAAGGCAAGAAGATGGGGGTGGGGTGGCTCAGCTTTTAAGAGAACTTGCTTTTCTTCCAGAGGACCTAGTCTTGGTTCTAAGCACCCACATGGTGGTTCACAACTGTTTGCAATTCCAGTTCCAGGGGGTAGAAGACCCTTTTTTGAACTCTGTGGGCATCAGGCATACACATTTATGCATGCCAAAAATACTCATGCACATACATAATCTTCTAGAAGGAAACGCAAGAGCCTTGTATTGTTTTGGGGGCTGTTGGAACTTCTCTGGCAACAACTCAAAACCCCTGTCACTGGGGCATTGATTTAATAACTCACAGCTTCTGAGAGCAGCTTTCCCTAGATACAATATTTATTATTGTTGAGTTTATTTTTGGTTCACTATTTTCTTTTTTTTTACATTTTTACATTTTTGTTAGTCGTCTTGATGATAACCTTTCTGATGGGGAATACAGAATCTTAAAGTACTTTCCATTTTTAAAGAACCATTTTTTTTTGAGAGAGAGAGAGCAAGTAGCTACTCTATATCAAATTGCTATTGGGCACATTCTGTCTTGCAACAGCAGCTGCCAACAGTAAAGCTATCTAAGGGCCACGTTTCCCTTCCCTTACCCTTCCCTTCAATAACTCCTGAGCTGCTTTAACACCACCCACTGGGACTTTCAGATTTCTTAAGTGTGTGGAAACCCATGTAACAGGTAAGTGACTGGCAACGTCACAGTGCAGGGAATGCATGATTGGTCTCACGAACACAGAACTCACAGTTTGTACCATGCATCTCATAACTGAATGGCAGATGTCCTTGAAGAGTCCTAGAACAGACAAGTGAAGATACCCATGAAGTACAGAGTTCCCTGAAAGGATGAGGTAACATCCTTTGGAATCCATCTCATGTGATCAGATCCTTCTTTCTAGTATTGTGTCTCTTACAGAAGCTCATAAAAATCTTAGAATAAAGAGGTAGAATGAAGGAGAAATGGCCTCAGTTAACCTCACTCCCAGTGGCCCAGGTGGGAGCTTTCAAGTCTTCTGTCTGTCTGTCTGCCATTTTGTTTCTCTTTAGGTAACAGCAATAAATAGTATTAAAGACAAGTACTCAGGGACTACAAGAAAATTGTTGAAATCTGGGAGGAAAAAAAATCTTGTGACAATTCTAGACAACCTTTCTCCCTCATTCCCTTGTCATTCTATTCCCCCCTCCTTCTCTTCCTTCCTTCCTTTCTGTGTGTGTGTATGGAACATGAATGTGTGCTGAGGTACATGTGTGTGCAGTACATGTGCCCATGAAAGCCAGACGAGGACATCAGCTGTTCTTAATTCCTTTCCACTTTACATCCTCAAGAAAACTCTCTAACTGGATGAATCAGGCTTTCCATTTTTCAGCTACAGCACCAACTAGACAGCCCCAAGAATCACTTTTTCTATTGCCCACAATGCTGGGGTTACATGGCAACATCAGTTTACATAGGTTCTGATGATACAAACACAGTCCTCATGCCTGCTCAGGAAGTGTATTTACCTACTGAGCCATCTGCCATTGAGAAGAGAACAGTTATTATTGATCAGGGAGGCATATGAAGAGCCTGAGGGTTGTGGGCTGTGAACAATAAGACAGGACTCAGAATGAGCTTCCTCTGGGAGGAATGGATACACAGAATGATTGGTATGGATGGTGGACTTATTTGGATATTCTCTGTTGGTTTACTTTTTCCTTAATTGAAAAATAATGGGGAAAATACTGATGTTTCTGTAGATCTAAGTGGCTATATGAACAATTATAGAGTACAATGGTAAAATCTGTTTCTCCCTGGAGCTTAATGTTAAATAGGCCCATTTATGGTAGTGCAGTAGCCATGGAACTCTGCCATAGCATTTGCTAGTTGCTATTAAGCAAATGATACTAGCTCTGATCGGTAAGAAGCTATTTAGTTACCTTAGTAATTGAGTACTCTACAAATAAAATGCTCCTAGGAGGTAATTAATAGGAACTTGGGAACAAAGGGTGCACATTTAAAGACCTAATCACATGCATGGATTGCTCCTGTTTCCACAATTTATAAAAAAATAAAGATGCTGGAAAGCAGTGATGTGCAGATCACCACAGCAGAGTGCACTAGGCAGCTTTGCTTCCTTACGGGTGTCTTGTCCATGTGAATGTGGATCCTATCGTGAAGTACAATATGACTAAAGTGAGAAGTAAAGAGCGATTCCACAGTGTGGTCAAACCAAAGAACAAGGAGGGTCAGGTATGTAAAAGACCACGAGGGACGCTGTCTCTGAATGAGGTAAGGAATGACAAAGTGGTGTAAGTGAGAAAAGACACAGCCTCTTTGTAGAGTTACATCAGTTTGCTGTTTCTAATGCTTAAAACAGGAACGAGGAAGCGGCAAGAATGGTGCCATGTGAAAGAACTCCATTCTCCTTTAAACAGAGGAGTTATTAAACTTTGTATCTTGAAATGTGTTACAGACAGATTTATTTTGTTGTTGTGGAAAGGATCCATTCTGTAGGTCAGCTATTGGAATCGATGTGGGAC